TAATGATAGAAAACAAATGTCTGATATACTATACATGAACATGGTTGGCACACTTAGATACATTGCAGACTGTACACAGCCAGATATAGCATTTGCAACAAATCAGTTAGCAAAATACCTTAATGACCCTGGTATGGAGCATTATCTGGCACTTAAACATTGTTACATGTACTTAAAAACTATGAACAATGTCTGGCTCCAACTTAGTAGCACAAATCAATCAATATTGAACAGCTATACAGACACAGACAGTATGATGCAAGAAGGGCATTGTGCAATATCAGGATATGCATTTTACTTGAGTGATTCATTAGTTTCATGGTCAAGTAAAAGACAAACACTGGTGGCAAATTCAATGTATGAAGCTGAATTAATAGCTCTTACAAGAGGAACACAGGAAGCAATTGCACTTACTCATTTAGCTGAAGAGATTCTGCAGGTCTCTGATGCACTAATTGATATCTATTGCAATAACAATGCTGTTATACAAACAGTTACATTGGACGAACTCAAATATTCAGAACGAACAAAGCATTTAGATCATAAGAAAGATTTTATTAAATGCTACATTGAGTTAGAGTACATAAATGTGAAATACATACAGACGAACAATCAATGAGCAGATATATTAACTAAAGCACTACATGTACCACAAGTCAAACATCTTACCAGTTTACTCAGACTAGTAAGAGTTTGAAGGGGAGTATTATGAGATGATTAGTTTATCAACAGACAAACCACAAGACAATGACTTCATAATGTCTCAGTTAGAATACATACAATATAAGGATGAGAGACACTGAGTGGTCAATCATCACCTCACCCCTTGTCTATGCATGCCCCCCTTAAGTTCTCCCTCTCAACACTGCCTCTGTTCATTTATATCATGATTCCAATGTAACTCAATCCCAGACTTGACTGCAGTTGTTCTCATAGATTGTAAGTAGTGCTTCCAGTTTTCAAAGAGAATATTGTATTCATATAAAAATACTAAACAGACATCATTCAAATTCGTGTGTTAGCACTTTACCAGCAGAGTAAGTGCATCTGTTTTCAAGATTATTTGTTAGAGTAATTTTGGCAGATAAAATCCTTTCGGTCTGCTTGAAGTCTCTACTTGCTGCAGAAGTAGGAATTGGCATCAGTCTGCCCATTTATACCATACTATTTCAAGATGGTAGGATTTACAGTGATTTTCCTGCTTTTGTTAAAGGATATATTGAGATACAGTATGTTTTAGTTACTGTTGGCCATCTCTCACAGGATGTTGTGGTTTGCCTAACAAAAATGGAACCTTCACTAGCACTGATTATTATTGAATGGTGAGTATTACACTTATATTGTTCTTCTCTCTTAAAAATATAGTGCAGGAGTGTCCCTATAACCTATGGGATGGTTCTACTTTGTCTGGCACTCTTCAAAGCAGCAGAGTACTGGAGAATAGCATACAGCTTCAAAGGATTCCAACTTGTCAGAGTCCTCATTGAAGACCAAGTTCTATACTATGGCTTGTAAGTGGATCAATCATGCATAAATACCTTACTCAAGCTGCTGTAGTGTGATATTATGTTTCATAACACAAATGGTGTTTAAGCTAGGGATCCGAGCATACTGTATATGGGTACAACTGTACTCTGTACGGGTCTGTACAGGGTACAGTCGTAAAAATACAACCGTTTTTTGAGTTCTAGGACACAAGTACAGCTACAGTGAGTACCATATACAGCTGTATACAGTAATACGCTTGTAAATACAAATTTAATATTATATTAATAGAAAGAAATAATTAATATACTTTAAAATCGTTAAAAAGGCCTATTATTACTTTATATGTATGTCCCTATCAAATTAGCACTTGTTATGCCCATTTTCATCAGTATATTCAGTAAATCTGAAATATAATTTGTATGAAGTAATAAAAGATAGTCACATGACTAACTATTTTGAGAAGATAAATAATATAATATTAATACATTGACCCCAAGATTAGCTAAATTTGGTGTTTTTATGTATAAAAGGTATATTATAAGGTATACAAAGAGAAGAAATAGTTATAAATTGTGCTACACATGTTATTAATACTGAAAATCTTCTTTGGATGTCCGTACTCTGTATACGGCCGTATACGGCCGTATTTGGCCTAATAGGATACGGGATACAGCCCGTTTTATACGAGCCGTATTTGGTGTCTCAAAGTCCGGTACGAGTACAGATCGTACCGTGACCGAAACGGGTCGTAACCGTACTGTACGGTACGATTCGGATCCCTAGTTTAAGCGATTTTCGGATATCAATCGTTTTGTTCCTACGCTTATGAATGCAGCTGGAAGCCCAAGTCTCCTCTGTGTTATTGGAAGCCACCTTCTAATTCATCTAAAAGAGGCAGGCGAGAGAGGGATGAACGAAGGAACCAGTTACAGGTTGAGGACTCTCAGTGACATTGGATTCGCCGAAGGTATGTCCACTTATGTCTGTTCACGTTAGACTCGACTGATTTGTTTTAGATGCTCCCACTGGCACAGCTACAGGCTCGAACGAAGAATAGGCGAGCAGCAGTCAAGTAGTCTTGTTTGGGTTTGGCTCCCAGTCTTGCAACGGATAGCATATTACTATATTTGGTCGGTTTCTGCACTGTATAACTGTGTCGCTATTTTCTTTTATCGAAGTCTGGATGCTGTGAAATACTTATCTTATCATGATAGTCTTTCTCTGACTGGTTTTTGTTTGCTTCATTCCTTGATTATATGTATGCACGGATAAAAATAGTATTTTATGTATTTAGTGCTTCAGTCTTCAGAGTACAACTTTGTCTCAGGTTTTACAGTACACAAGACAAACAAAAAAAATTATACTGTCGCGGTGCCCCTTGCAGTCAGTACCCACATGTGGACACTCTTACTATTCCTCCCTCAAATCTTACTCGATCTTCATGAAATTTTGTACGTATGTAGCCAGATATCTAATGAATATATATCCGAAATTTTGAGATAAAAAAACAAGTAGAAAAGAACTTATCACACTTACATTATGAAGACTATGAGAAATTGAGCTTTTGGAGTGAAACAAATTCTTTCCCACACTTTGTACACCTTATAATAATTCAAATAATAATCCTAGTAAGTTATAACTCTTCATTATTGTGTATTAGCATGTATATTATTTAAATTTTTTTTGTATAACTTTATGTGAAGATTTGAGCAAGTTATAGTGAATATTGGTATTAATCTAATTTTAATAAACTAGAATATGCAAATCTACTAATCTCTAACTTTACAATTTTTTATACACAATTCTACTCTCATAACTTATGAATTAAAGCTAATATTTATAATTATATACATTATAAGTATATACATCTCAGAAATTATAACTTAAATATTATCACTTGGATTTATATCAAGTGTTGTTTTTACAACTATAAAAATTATAGTTTTTACAAGTATTAGTAGTAAAATTAATGTTATTATTTTGAAAAAAAAGGTACATCCCTCAGATTAGACAGGATAAGGTGTATGATAGTAGTATAGCTGTAATAACTAAAGGAGAAAGGATATGAACTTGAAGTAAAGGAGGAAGAGCTTGATTAGTATTGTTATTAAATAATAAAGTACTTATAACTTTATAAGAAGAGAGAGATTAATAAACAAAAACAGTAGCTCAACTCTCAGAAAAGGAAGGGATATACTCTAGAGATATAGAGGTAGAGTAAGAGTAAGAGGTAGAGGGGAGTGTAAGAAGGAGATAGTAGAATATAATTAAATAATTTCAAGTTATTATAATAAGCCTATTCCTACAATGTAAACATTAATTTCATTAGTAAATAAACTTTTAAAACTAATAGAGTATAATTACCTTTGTTTCCTAGTCAAATTAGTCTAAATAGAATCAAA